GGGGGGAAGAAATAGAGGGGAAAAAATGCCAGCCATGGAAGCTTGCCATGGCCTTTGGCTCTTCTTGCTGTGCTCCTCTCCGCTCTTTGGCCGTGGATGCGTACTGATGCTCCTGCCCTCCTAGGAAGGGCATCTGATGGTGCCCAGCTTCCGAGATGCTGATCTTAAAGCTCTGCATGGAAGCGTTTGGCGTGCACGGCTTGCTACACAGCTTTTTCTTTCCCCCCCACAAAACTCGATTTTGTTTAACAAAAAGAGCTGTTGTGCTGCGGCGTTGGAAACGAGCCTATCTGGTACTTTGTTATCTCCAAAGTCCTGGACAAATATCAGCTTAATTAATTAAAGCCCTGCTGGGAAGCTCGTTGCTTTGCTGGCCCGCAGAGGACGTGAGTGCTTTGGGGTAGCTTGTGGCCACACTGGAACAGTCTCGGGTTGATGTCATGAGAATTAGTGGAGTCTTTGCCGCCAGGGGACGATGGCAGCAATTCAGACTTGGAAAGCAGCAAAATCCTGCATTTGCCCAAAAGTATCAAGGCAAAACCAGAAGCTCCCTGCTTCTTCAGCACAGTCACCAGGGTCTGGCAGCTCCGAGCAGCATCAGTGATGCATAAATAGACAGTTGTTTGCTTTCTGATGTAAATATGAATATTAAAAAAAAAAAAAAAATTTAATTAATTTCTTGTTGTCCCTCTTGGTTTCAGCCCCACCTGCTTCTTTGCACCTTTCTAAGGTTGCATCTCTTGTTTTATTTTTCTCTGTGCTTCAGTGCCACTCTCTGATACGATCCTCAAGCCGGGTGATCAGGCTGGAGATGAGAGTGAACCAAAGCATAGCCAAATATTCACAGTTTGCATCCTCCCAGCGGAGAATCTGCTAAATATTTTGATAGCAAACATTTGGGGGGAAAGACTGGTGGTTGCCAGAGGAGCCCCTCTCTAAGGAAGGAATCAAGTGGAGAAGCAGGCGCAGATGTTTTTCTCTCTTTTTTTTTTTTTTTGGTTGGTTGGTTGGGTTTTTTTGGTGTGTGTTTTTACTCCACCAGTGTTTGTAGACGTTACTACACACATAGCAAAGACCTGCAGCACGGGAGGGAATTTTACTCGCCCCCTGATAGCTTGCTGGAATTCCGTTGCCCAGATTTGCGTTCAGATTTAAGGAAAAAAAAGCTCTCAAATGAAGAAACTCGCTCATGAAATACAACGATGTGGTTCCCCGTATCAGCCAGAGAGATCCTCTCTCCTTTGATCTGGGGAACCGACAGCACTGGCAGGTTTCTTTCCTGAGGGCTGATGTCCCTCGTATTGCTTCATTGCCCAAAGGGGGGTTGCTTTCCTCTGCTGCTCCCCAGAAGCTAAAATCAGGGCTGTCGGTGTGCTGTGGGCAGGGGAGCAAAACAGGCGGGGGGATACGCGGGGCCTCGCGGCAGAAGGCTCCGGCCCCTCGGCAGACGGGCGTCGGGCTCTCAGTTGGGCTGTGTTTGCTGCTGTCCCCTCCGATCAACCGGCGCCCTAAATAAAAATCCCAGAGGCTTTAAGTTATTGGTGGTTAAGCAACTACGGCATAAAATTTGCCCCAATTTACTATAATCTTATTTTTAAATCTTTTTGACGCAATTCTAAGTAACCTCACTAAATTAATGAATCTTTCCTTCTACTCCATTAAGGAAAACTCTGTGCTCCGTTACCCTGCGCTCCCGTAATTCCCTAAATCGCTTCAAGCGCAGAGCTCCCCGCGGGTGCCGCGCGCATTTGCTTTGCGTTTGCTTTTCCATCTTCGAGCCCCGGCGCTCCAGGCCCTGCAAGACCTGGCGGTGCCAGGCTAGGCAGGGCAGCATCCGTAGGGTTGGGATTTAAACGCTGGGGTTCGGCAAGCCTTGCTCAGCAGGATATTTGGGGAGCTTGAAGCCAAACACGCTTTCAGTCTCCGCAAGAAATGACACTTGGGGCTGCTGCCCTTTAGAGGTAGCACAGGCGGGGAGGAGGCTGTCGGTGAGGTTTAGTGTTTCTGATTTTTTTTTTTTTTTTTTTTCTTCTTCTTGCAGGGAACGGCGAGCTGAGCAACAAGGAGTTTGTCGCCATCATGAAGCAGCGCCTTATGAGAGGCTTGGAGAAGCCCAAGGACATGGGCTTCACGCGACTCATGCGGGCGATGTGGAAATGCGCCCAGGAGACGGCGTGGGACTTCACCATGCCCAAGCAGTAGCGGGGCCGGGGGGGAGCGCCCGGATTCCCTGCCTCGGCCCTGCCACAGCTCCTGCGGGGTGGCACCAGGCTCTGGCGAGCCCAGGCTGTTCGCTACAGGAGATTTTTGTAAATCAAAGTTAGAAATCAAAGCCTGTTGTACGTGCAGCTGCTGCTTGACGCTGGCCCCTTACTGTTCCTCTCTCTCAGGAAAAAGAAAAGGATTTTTCTTGGTGCCGCCAACCTCTGCTTTGCGATGC